AACTTGGATCAATAGCTCTAATTACCTCCTTTCACTCCAGCAGATGGACGATGACGACAGGTAACTCCAGGGAGCAGCGCCACCCTCGCCTCACCCTTGTTAGATCCCTCTCCCTAGTTACTCACTGTGCCTTCCCTCTCCACCCTTCTCCCTGGCTCCGCACTCACAACTCCTGCCATATTAATCAGTCCCATTCTCTTGTCCATTTAATACGCAGCTTTTAAAGAAACATTTCCTTTTGTCTATGCTCATAAAAAATTATTAAAGGATAGATGGTTCAGGACGTAATTAGTGACAGATGGAAGGGAACAACAGTAAAGAAGAGGGGATTGAAAGGGAAGGAAAGGGATGAATCTAGAGACGCTGATAATGACAATTAATTCCTTGATACAAGTGTCAGAGATACAACAGCTTACTGCGAGTCCTCAGTCGTGGAATATCTTATTGTGGAGTCCGACCATATTGACGCAGTGAGCGGGAATGATGGCACTCTTCGCTCAGGATGTGTCCGGCTAGAGACAGAGTTGTAACGGAGTGTGTCTCACTCATGCGTTAAATGATGGCAGTATTGTGACCGATTATATCTGGCTCGTGTGTAAATGATAAGAGTATTGTGACAGGAATAAAGTTCAATCAAATCTATAAATAAATATTTATGAACACAGAATGTTTTATCATTTAGCAAACTGAGTTCTATTCCACCTCGATAATGCCAGAAGCAGGAAATTGACTGTTGCTAGCTATTGTGTATGGTATGCTGCTATTGTGTGAGGTATGCTGCTATTGTGTATGGTATGCTGCTATTGTGTATGGTATGCTGCTATTGTGTATGGTATGCTGCTATTGTGTATGGTATGCTGCTATTGTGTGTGGTATGCTGCTATTGTGTATGGTATGCTGCTATTGTGTATGGTATGCTGCTATTGTGTGTGGTATGCTGCTATTGTGTATGGTATGCTGCTATTGTGTATGGTATGCTGCTATTGTGTGTGGTATGCTGCTATTGTGTATGGTATGCTGCTATTGTGTATGGTATGCTGCTATTGTGTGTGGTATGCTGCTATTGTGTGAGGTATGCTGCTATTGTGTATGGTATGCTGCTATTGTGTATGGTATGCTGCTATTGTGTGTGGTATGCTGCTATTGTGTGTGGTATGCTGCTATTGTGTATGGTATGCTGCTATTGTGTATGGTATGCTGCTATTGTGTGTGGTATGCTGCTATTGTGTGAGGTATGCTGCTATTGTGTATGGTATGCTGCTATTGTGTATGTTATGCTGCTATTGTGTGTGGTATGCTGCTATTGTGTATGGTATGCTGCTATTGTGTATGGTATGCTGCTGTTGTGTGAGGTATGCTGCTATTGTGTGTGGTATACTGTTGTGTGTGGTATGCTGCTATTGTGTATGGTATGCTGCTATTGTGTGTGGTATGCTGCTATTGTGTGTGGTATGCTGCTATTGTGTGTGGTATGCTGCTATTGTGTGTGGTATGCTGCTATTGTGTGTGGTATGCTGCTATTGTGTGTGGTATGCTGCTATTGTGTGTGGTATGCTGCTGTTGTGTGTGGTATGCTGCTATTGTGTGTGGTATGCTGCTATTGTGTGTGGTATGCTGCTATTGTGTGTGGTATGCTGCTATTGTGTGTGGTATGCTGCTATTGTGTGTGGTATGCTGCTATTGTGTATGGTATGCTGCTATTGTGTGTGGTATGCTGCTATTGTGTGTGGTATGCTGCTATTGTGTGTGGTATGCTGCTGTTGTGTGTGGTATGCTGCTGTTGTGTGTGGTATGCTGCTATCGTGTATGGTATGCTGCTATCGTGTATGGTATGCTGCTATCGTGTATGGTATGCTGCTATTGTGTATGGTATACTGCTATCGTGTGTGGTATGCTGCTATTGTATGTGGTATGCTTCTGTTGTGTATGGTATGCTGCTATTGTGTATGGTATGCTGCTATTGTGTGTTGTTTGCTGCTATTGTGTGTTGTATGCTGCTGTGTGTGGTATGCTGCTATTGTGTGAGGTATGCTGCTGCTGTGTGTGGTATGCTACTATTGGGTATGGTATGCTGCGTGTGTGGTATGCTGCTGCTGCTGTGTGTGGTATCCTGCTATGGTGTACGGCATGCTGCTATTGTGTATGGTATGCTGCTATTGTATATGGTATGCTGCTATTGTGTGTGGGTTTGCTGCTATTGTGTATGGGTATGCTGCTATTGTGTATGGGTATGCTGCTATTGTGTGTGGGTATGCTGCTATTGTGTGTGTTGTATATGCTGCTATTGTGTGTGTTGTATATGCTGCTATTGTGTGTGGTATTCTGTTAGTATAGTGTGTATTCTACTACCTGTATTGCGTTGGTATGCTTCTAACTACTCAGTGTGGGAATGATACTATTGTATATGTGTATACTGCTAGCCGTTGTCTTCGGATATGGCACTATGTCTATAGTGTGTGGCGTTGGTATGCTCCTAACTATTGTGCTTTCGCATATCTCAATAGGTATTGTGCTTGTGCCTCCTGCTAGTATATGTGCGTTGTCGCATGTTGTTGGCTATTATGCTGGGGGCGTGACATTAACTATTGAGAGACGATATGTTGAGGGGTGTTGTTAGGGGGAAGGCGGCTGACTAATGTTCGCATCGTGTAACTACTGTGCACGGGTATCTTGCTAGTTTTTGGACGTATGTTGCTAGCTTTTGTACGTGGATATGTTGCAACATAATTCCCTCCCCCATTATTGTGCACGGGTATGTTGCTAGGTTTTGTACGTGGATATGTTGCAACATAATTCCCTCCCCCATTATTGTGCACGGGTATGTTGCTAGGTTTTGTACGTGAGTGTGTTGCTAGCTGCATGTTGCAATCTGTTGTCTTCTGATATGGTACTATAGCTATAGTGTGTGTGTGTTTGCACAACATACAAAGTTTTATTTGAACGTTGGTATGTTGCTAGCTACTGTGCACGGGTATGTTGCTAGCTGTTGTACGTGGGTACGTTGCAACACCCCCCCCCCCTATTGTGCACGGATATGTTGTTAGGTTTTGTACGTATGTTCCTAGCTGTTGTACGTGGGTTTGTTGTAAGCTATTGTGTACGGTGAGGTTTCTAGCTATTATGCGTGTGTATGTTGCTATTTAATGGCATTTATGAGAGCCAATATGTGGTTGAATCAATGCCCGACCCAATGTTAAATATTCATCTCCTGTGGGAATGTTGATCTGAATAATAATCACTGAATTGTCAACTATGTTAATGATATGTAAAGTGTGGATTATTACTATGCTAATGTTGCAGATAACCGCTGGCACACACATACGGAGGAGGAATTGTAAGACAGAGGTAGAGAAGCATTGATGAGAGGAAGAGGTAGGTGTGGAGAGAAACAGTAAAGTAAGGAAGAGGAAGAATGAGGGGGGAGAGTGTAGAGACAGAAACAAGAAAAGACGTTTGGAAAGAGAGAGAGAGAGAGAGAGAGAGAGAGAGAGAGAGAGAGAGAGAGAGAGAGAGAGAGAGAGAGAGAGTGAGTGAGTGGGAGAGAGAACCGGTAAATAATGCAGTGGAGAGGGTATGGATAGTGAGAAGACAGTTGTTGGGAGAAGAGGAACGGAATGAGAGAGGGAGTTGTATGGGGGGGGAGGGAATGGTCTGGGCTGCAAGACAGACAAAGGTTTGCCTTTGCTCAGAGGCAAACACTTAATAAGACCATACTAAATAAGACCATCAAGTCAGTAGTGTACTATCTTCACTCCGCATTACCCAGTTCTCTTCCCCATGCCCCCATTCTCCCCGAGCCCAATCCTTCTCTTGCCCCATTTACCCTTGTAAACACTACGATTATTTGAGATTGAAAGTTAACCTTTTTTATATAACAACCATTTCCTTATTTTTGGGCTTTGCACTTATGAACGTATAAGTTCGTCTGCCACTTTCCTGCCCAGTTCTGCCACGTGATAGATTTTTCTTGTGTTACGTAGAGTCCTCATTCGTGTCTACTCTCCGACCCACTCTCGTGTCACCCGCCAGCTCTCTGATACTATTCTTCACTCCATCACCAAGGTCGTTGATACATGAACAAAGGGGCCCCCAATACCGACCCCTGGGACATCACTAACGACATGTCTCTACTCCAATTTCACCCCGTTGATGCCAACTCTCTGCTTTCAATCCCAAACCGGGCCATGATCTAATTGAGAATTATTACCAGAAAATAAACACAACATTCTACGTGTTAATTTCGGCGCACTGACAATGATGATAACGTTAATACCAAGCTGAAAATATGATGAAGGGAGCAGACGACTATGAAAGAACCAAAGGGAAAGAGAACAGCAGAGAGGAGAGGATCAAAGAGGAAAGAACAACTGACATGGAAGGGACCATAGCGGAAGGGGCCATATCTGACAAAGAAGGGACCACAGTGGAAGGAAACCGCTGACAAGGGACCATAGTGGAAGGGAACATCTGACAAGGAAGACGGGGCCCTCAGTGTAACAGCTAACATAAAAGGGACCACAGTGATGGGAACAGCTGACTTAGAAGGGACCACAGTGATGGGAACAGCTGACTTAGAAGGGACCACAGTGATGGGAACAGATGACTTAGAAGGGACCACAGTGAAGGGAACAGCTGACGTGGAAGGGACCACAGTGATGGGAACAGCTGACTTAGAAGGGACCACAGTGAAGGGAACAACTGACGTGGAAGGGACCACAGTGATGGGAACAGCTGACGTGGAAGGGAGGGAAAACTGGGGAAGAGAAAAGGGTGACCTTTGCCTCCATTCCCAATCTCCCAGAACGTGAAGAACTGTTCGTGAAGAGGAAGAAAACATTAGGTACACGAGATAAAGCCAAAATTTTGTTAAACATTCTTTGCAGTCTTAGTCACATTGCATTCAGGGACGACACTTTTAGAAGGACGGTAAAATAACGGTGGGATAGGTCGGAGTGTCAGGTCCATTCATATCGAGATGGGAAGAGCTTGAGGTTTGTTGATTACGTTGGTGGGCGGAGCTTGGCGCCCCTTGTTGACGAGGTGGGCGGAGCTTGGTGCCCCTTGTTGACGAGGTGGGCGGAGCTTGGCGCCCCTTGTTGACGAGGTGGGCGGAGCTTGGCGCCCCTTCTGACGAGGTGGGCGGAGCTTGGCGCCCCTTGTTGACGAGGTGGGCGGAGCTTGGCGCCCCCTGCTGACGAGGTGGGCGGAGCTTGGTGCCCCTTGATAACGAGGTGGGCGGAGCTTGGCGCCCCTTGTTCACGAGGTGGGCGGAACTTGGCGCCCCCTGCTGACGAGGTGGGCGGAGCTTGGTGCCCCTTGATGACGAGGTGGGCGGAGCTTGGCGCCCCCTGCTGACGAGGTGGGCGGAGCTTGGCGCCCCTTGTTGACGAGGTGGGCGGAGCTTGGCGCCCCCTGTTGACGAGGTGGGCGGAGCTTGGTGCCCCTTGATGACGAGGTGGGCGGAGCTTGGCGCCCCCTGCTGACGAGGTGGGTGGAGCTTTGTGTCCCTTGATGACGAGGTGGGCGGAGCTTGGCGCCCCCTGCTGACGAGGTGGGCGGAGCTTGGTGCCCCTTGTTGCCGAGGTGGGCGGAGCTTGACGCCCCTTGTTGACGAGGTGGGCGGAGCTTGACGCCCCTTGTTGACGAGGTGGGAGGAGCTTGATGCCCCCTGCTGACGAGGTGGGCGGAGCTTGGTGCCCCATGATGACGAGGTGGGCGGAGCTTGGTGCCCCTTGATGACGAGGTGGGCGGAGCTTGGCGCCCCTTGTTGACGAGGTGGGCGGAGCTTGGTGCCCCTTGTTAACGAGGTGGGCGGAGCTTGGTGCCCCTTGTTGCCGAGGTGGGCGGAGTTTGACGCCCCTTGTTGACGAGGTGGGCGGAGCTTGACGCCCCTTGTTGACGAGGTGGGCGGAGCTTGACGCCACTTGTCGACATGGTGGGAAGAGTTTGAGGCGAGTTGTTGACGCTGGCTGAGCTCTGAGCACCGTCATCCCATCCGTGATTGTAAACGCTTCAGTTTGGAGGCATTAAACATTACGGGACCAGCGTTTATACCCTGTTTAACAGGGCACTAAAATCTTAGTTTAGAGTCAAGGTGACGGTCGAGGGACGCGCGAGAGGGCCTCGTCACAACAATGTTAGCAAGAATAGTGAGCTGTGCTGTGTGAAGACGGGCCACTCTGCTATATAAAGACCCAGCACTCTGCTGTATAAGGATGTGGCCATCTGCTGTATGTATCAAGACCTTCCACCCTACTGAATTAAGACGGGCCACTCTACTATATAAAGACCCAGCACTCTGCTATTTAAAGACCTCGCCATCTGCTGTATAAAGACCTAGTATTCTGTACAGCAGAGTGCTGGGTCTCTGTACAGCAGAGTGCTGGGTCTCTGTACAGCAGAGTGCTGGGTCTCTGTACAGCAGAGTGCTGGGTCTCTGTACAGCAGAGTGCTGGGTCTCTGTACAGCAGAGTGCTGGGTCTTTATATAGCAAAGACGCGGCACACTGCTATATATAGACGTGGAACATCTCCTTATCAATACTTTTCGCCCACACTAGTTTCAGTTGTTTTGGTTATCAAAGAGCCGTATTAAAATGTTAGGATAAAAGCCAAACTGGAGAGAGGTAAAAGAGAGAGCCAATTAGCGAGAGAGGGGAAGGGGAACCACGTGACATAGGGAATGGGGTGAACGGAACAGGCATCAAACAGCAAAATGGTTTCGCAATGGCCCAGAGCATTATTGAAGTTCAGAGTCGGTGTTGGCCATGGGGAAAATTGTCCTGATATTTAGTTAAGTAGTTCAGAAACCATCGGAGCTTAAAAGACAATGTTCGTCCGATGAAATCGATTTATTATTTGTCGGGAATATGTTCATTCAGTTAAAGGTTCAAAAACCTATTCTAACCTCACCTCACCTTACCTCACCTCACCCCATCACCTCACCTCACCCCATCACCTCACCTCACCCCCTCACCTCACCTCCTCACCTCACCTCGCCCCTTCCCTCACCTCACCCCATCACCTCACCTCAACCCTATCACCTCACCTCACCTCAACCCTATCACCTCACCTCGCCCCTCACCTCACCTCACCCCACCCCCATCACCTCACCTCACCCCCATAACCTCACATCAACCCCATCACCTCACCTCACCTCACCCCCATCACCTCGCCTCGCCCCTCACATCACCTCACCCCAACTCACACCACCTCACCTGACCCCCATCACCTCACCTCACCCCCCTCCCCTCACCCCATCACATCACCTCACCCCAACCCACACCACCTCACCTGACCCCCATCACCTCACCTCACCCCCCTCCCCTCACCCCATCACATCACCTCACCCCCTCACCTCACCCCATCACCTCGCCCCCTCACCTCACCTCACCCAATCACCTCACCCCCACCCCACACCACCTCACCTCCATCACCTCACCTCACCTACCCTCCGGCGCTACGCATCCTCTAATACAACAATCCCCTCTCAATCGTTCTTTTTCACCATATCCTAGGATTTTTATATAGGATTGTGAGAGAGCGTTCATCCATCCATGCGCGCGCACGTCCATGTGCAGTGTCGGTGTGTGTGTACACGTGTGTGTGTGTGTGTACATGTGTGGGTGTGTGTGTGTACACGTGTGGGTGTGTGTGTGTGTACATGTGTGGGTGTGTGTGTGTACATGTGTGGGTGTGTGTGTGTACATGTGTGGGTGTGTGTGTGTACATGTGTGGGTGTGTGTGTGTATACGTGTGGGTGTGTGTGTGTACACCTGTGGGTGTGTGTGTGTACACGTGTGGGTGTGTGAGTGTGTGTGTACACGTGTGGGTGTGTGTGTGTACACGTGTGGGTGGGTGTGTACACGTGTGGGTGGGTGTGTGTACACGTGTGGGTGTGTGTGTGTACACGTGTGGGTGTGTGTGTGTACACGTGTGGGTGTGTGTGTGTACATGTGTGGGTGTGTGTGTGTACACGTGTGGGTGTGTGTGTGTACACGTGTGGGTGTGTGTGTGTGTACACGTGTGGGTGTGTGTGTGTACACGTGTGGGTGTGTGTGTGTACACGTGTGGGTGTGTGTGTGTGTACACGTGTGGGTGTGTGTGTGTGTACATGTGTGGGTGTGTGTGTACATGTGTGGGTGTGTGTGTACATGTGTGGGTGTGTGTGTGAATACGTGTGGGTGTGTGGGTGTGTACACGTGTGGGTGGGTGTGTACACGTGTGGGTGTGGGTGTGTACACGTGTGGGTGTGGGTGTGTACACGTGTGGGTGTGTGTGTGTACACGTGTGGGTGTGTGTGTGTACATGTGTGGGTGTGTGTGTGTACATGTGTGGGTGTGTGTGTGTACATGTGTGGGTGTGTGTGTGTGTGTATACGTGTGGGTGTGTGTGTGTACACGTACTCACCTAATTGTGCTTGCGGGGGTTGAGCTCTGGCTCTTTGGTCACCCACCCGTGTGGGTGTGTGTGTGTATACGTGTGGGTGTGTGTGTGTACACGTGTGGGTGTGTGTGTGTACACGTGTGGGTGTGTGTGTGTACACGTGTGGGTGTGTGTGTGTACATGTGTGGGTGTGTGTGTGTGTATACGTGTGGGTGTGTGTGTGTACACGTGTGGGTGTGTGTGTGTACACGTGTGGGTGTGTGAGTGTGTGTGTACTCGTGTGGGTGTGTGAGTGTGTGTGTACTCGTGTGGGTGTGTGTGTGTACACGTGTGGGTGTGTGTGTGTACACGTGTGGGTGGGTGTGTACACGTGTGGGTGTGGGTGTGTACACGTGTGGGTGTGTGTGTGTACACGTGTGGGTGTGTGTGTGTACAAGTGTGGGTGTGTGTGTGTGTACTCGTGTGGGTGTGTGTTTGTACACGTGTGGGTGTGTGGGTGTACACGTGTGGGTGTGTGTGTGTACACGTGTGGGTGTGTGTGTGTACACGTGTGGGTGTGTGTGTGTACACGTGTGGGTGTGTGTGTGTACACGTGTGGGTGTGTGTGTGTACACGTGTGGGTGTGTGTGTGTACACGTGTGGGTGTGTGTGTGTACACGTGTGGAAGGGTGTGTACACGTGTGGGTGTGTGTGTGTGTACACGTGTGGGTGTGTGTGTGTACACGTGTGGGTGGGTGGTGTGTGTGCACACGTGTGGGTATGTGTACACGAGTGGGTGTGGTGTGTGTGTGTACACGTGTGGGTGTGGTGTGTGTGTGAACACGTGTAGGTATGTGTACACGAGTGGGTGTGGTGTGTGTACACGTGTGTGAGTGTGGTGTGTGTATACACGTGATAGTGTGGTGAGTGTGTGTGTGTGTACTCACCTAATTGTACTCACGTAATTGTGTTTGCGGGGGTTGAGCTTTGGCTCTTTGATCCCGCCTCTCAACTGTCAATTAACTGGTGTACAGGTTCCTGAGCCTTCTGGGCTCTATCATATCTACATTTAAAACTGTGTATGGAGTAAGCCTCCACCACATCACTTCCTAGTGCATTCCATTTATTAACTAATCTGACACTGAAAAAATTATTTCTAACGTCTCTGTGACTCATCTGGGTACTACGTTTCCACCTGTGTCCCCTTGTTCGTGTCCCACCAGTGCTGAAGAGTTTGTCTTTGTCTACCCTGTCAATTTCCCTGAGAATTTTGTAGGTTAGTATCATGTCTCCCCCTTACACTTCTGTTTTCCAGGGATGTGAGGTTCAGTTCATTTACCCTTTCCTCGTAGCTCAATCCTCTCAGTTCCCGGACGAGCCTGGTGGCATGCCGCTAAATCTTCTCTAACATTGTCGTGTGTTTAACTGGGTCTGGACTCCAGGCTGGAGCTGCATACTCCAGGATTAGTCTTACATAAGTGGTATACAGGGTCCTGAAAGATTCCTTACACAAGTTTCTAAAGGCAGTTCTTATGTTGGCCAGACTAGCATTTGCCGCTGATGATATCCTTTTGATGTGGGCCTCTGGGGACAGGTTCGGTGTGATATCAACCCCCTAAATCTTTCTCTCTATTTGACTCTTGCAGGATTTCACCTCCCAGATGATACCTTGTGTTCAGCTTCTTGCTCCCTTCGCCTAATTTCATTACCTTACACTTTCCTGAGTTGAACTTTAGCAGCCATTTTCTAGACCATTCCTCCAGTTTGTCCAGGTCATTCTGTAGTCTCTGGCTATCTTCACCCGTCTTGATTCTTCTCATAATTTTTGCATCATCAGCAAACATTGAGAGGAATGAGTCTATACTTTCCGGAAGATCGTTTACATATATTAGAAACAGGATGGGTCCAAGTACTGAGCCCTGTAGGCCTCCGCTGGTGACATCTCGCCACTCTGATGTCCTCCCCCTCACCGTTACTCGCTGTTTCCAGTTGCTTAAGTACTCCCTTATCCACTGGAGTATTTTCCCTTTTACTCCTGCCTGTTGCTCCAACTTTTTTTTATAGCATTTTATGAGGTATTGTGTCAAAGGCTTTCTGGCAGTCCAGGAAAATGCAGTTGACCTACCCTTCTCTTTCCTGCCTAATTTTTGTTGCCTGGTCATAGAATTCTATTAAACCTGTGAGGCACGATTTACCATCCCTGAACCCATGTTAGTGGTGCGTTACAAAGTTATTCCCGTCCAAATGCTCTACGAGCCTTTTCCTCACGATCTTCTCCATCACCTTGCATGGTATACAAGTTAGGGAAACTGGCCTGTAGTTTAGTGCCTCTTGCCTGTCACCCTTCTTGTATATTGGGACCACGTTAGCTGTCTTCCAACTTTCTGGTAAGTCTCCTGTTTCCAGTGACCTGTTTACACCAGAGAGAGTGGCACACTTAGTGCTTCTGCACCTTCCTTTAGTATCTATGGTGAGATTCTGTCGGGCCCAATAGCCTTTGTCACATCCAGCTCCAGCAGACACCTTTTCACCTCATCACTGGTGAGGTCAAATTCCTCCAAGGTTGCTTGGTTTGTCGCCTCTTCAATTAGTGCAGAGGCTTCTCCTTGTTCTATTGTGAAGACCTC